GCCGCTGGAATAAATCGAAGGCTCTGTTGCCATGTTGGTGCCTACCACTACGTGCGCCTTTCAAATGTGGCAGTGAATGAAGCAGTAAATGTAGCTCGTTCGAGTGGTCGACAGAGATTCACTCGCATCGGACGGAGCAGCGCGGCGGGCTTTTCTGTCCCTTCCACGTTTCTTTTTTTTTTTAGCTAAACAACTTTTTCGAGGAAAAAACAAACAATGCCAACGCTCAATAAAAAGATTGAATTAGGAACTCTAATTTTTCTGAATTTTTAAGCGTGTAGAAATACAAAAATATAAATCGACAATGTGACGTATTGAGATCGATCAATACGTCGATTTATTTAATAATTATAATTATTATGCCCAAAGTGGTGGACGATGGGAATGGGAAACGAGGTTTCTCATTCCCTTCATCCAAAGATTGCTCAGCAGTCCCACGGTGTCCCATGGACACCAGCGTAAGCAGTTCCACGGTTTCTACAGGTCCAGTTCAGGGTGCTGAACTGTTTGACTGTGTAGGTTTCTATACAAACGAATGCACGAAACCGTATTAGTGAAGAAAACCGTGGGATTGCTTAGGTAAGCATTTTGGGACTTTGACGAGTTTGGACGACTCGGGAAGCACCAGAGTACGGCAGGAGTTGAAGATGGACGGACGTCCTCTCCCAGCCAAAAATCTAGAGTACGATCAGGAGCGAAACAGAGCGGATCTCTGAGCTCAGGCCTTCAGCCAACCAAGAACCAAGTGAAGTCAAGGTCCCAAAGTCGAGTCAAGTACCGCGTTATACCGACCCATTAAACACTACCGTGTATAAAGAGAAGTTAATATATAATTATTTTACCCACATTAGTACGGTCGGTTTAATATCGTTAACCCTCCCTCTATCCTTCGCTTATCCCTCCGATTGAGCGCACCACCCGTGAGCTCACCGAGACTAGCCGAGGTCGGAGTGAAACATGAGTTATTAAAGGACAAATTAACTTATTTCGTCACAACAAAAACGGGCGGCGTCGCGCTCATTGAACGAGTAATCGCGGGTTAAATTTCTTCATCCATGACTTTTTAAAAAACCCAAGTATTTTTTAGAATTTTCTATAAAACTGGAGAATTTCTTCGAATTTGGCAAAGAATCAGAGAATTCTCTGAAAAACTTTTTGAGAATTGAATGTTGGTTTTTTTTGTTGATCATTTTTGGTAATCGGATCTGGCCTTCCCTGGGCCAATCAGAGTTGAGTATTCAATAACATGAAGGTACTTCCTAATTAACATTATAGCGGTTATTACCACCTAGCTTTTGATAATTTCCCTTTAGCTCTGCAATTGTTTCTCTAACCAAATAACTGTCAAATATTATTCTTTGGAGTGAAAGAAAGTCATGAAGAAAGTCAAAATGAGTCGGTTTGGAAAGGATCCGATTAAAAAAATAATCCGTCGAATACCACTCGACCTCCAAAATTAATCGTATATTTCCCTCATGTTTTCCTGCGTATCAACAATCGAGATAAGTTTTGCACAAAAATCCCTCGCGCTGCGCGCTCGCGATTTTAATCTGCAAGATTTCTCCCTCTCGTTACTACGCAACAAAACAATCGAGAAATATCCCATAATTTTGGAGGTCTCGTGGTATTACTACAAATTATTTTTCTCACTCGGATTTCAGCCAATCAGAGCACAGTATTTGAGGCTGTCAAACAGTTTTATTTAGGAAATTTCCAAAAAAAAATCCCGACGGAAATTCACTAGTAGCTTTTCAAATGTTTCTTATCTTTCAACGCATTTCACGTTTAATATTCTGTCTGACAGATAAACGAAAAAGTGGGTTATAAATGTATGGCTGTGTAAATATATCTGGGTGTTGTTCACTGCCCTCCGCTTGGTCGAAATCCGAGTGGAAAAATAACCCGTCAAATACCACTCGTGCTCCAAAATTGATCGAATATTTTTTGATAGCTTCGTTGCCTAGGAACGACACTATCGGAAAATATCCGATTATTTCGAAGCACTAGTGGTATTACTACTGAAAACAGGATTTTTGATTCTCAATTAGTTCTAAATGGTTTCAAAAAAATTGAGAGTTGGATTCTTGATTTTCAATTAACTCTCAATTCACAGAATAGATTGGTAGACAATTGAGCATCGAAAATCCAACTCTCAACTCTCAAAACAGTTGAGGGTACACTCAGAGATACCTGAGAATCAAAATTCAAAAATCAAATTTTCAATCCCGATAATAAAGTTGATAGTAAAAGAAGGCGACCGGCATAAAATGCATTTTACGCCTCGTCACTCCAACTTTCAACTAACCCTGAATTTTCTCTCAAAAACCAGAAATTATCCAGAGTCCAACTCTCAATTTAATCCGGAAAAGCCAAGTTTCCGAGAGCGTTCCAAAATTCTCCGGTTATCGAGAAAATCCGTCGATTTTCAAAAAAAAATCGAAAAAATTCTCCAATTTTCTAAAAATTTCGAATTAATGTTCCAGTTTTGTAGAAAAAAATTGAGAAAATTATTGGGTTTTTGGAAACGCTCTAGGAAATTCTCCGGTTTTCTAAAAAATTCAAGAAAATTCAAGGTAATTCTCCGATTTTCTACTAAATTGCTTGAGGTTCGCCGATTTTCTCATAAGTTCGGAAGAATTCTACAGTTATCTAACAAATTCGGTGAAATTCATCGATTTTCTAATAAATTCGGAGGATCCTCCGGTTTTCTAGAGAATTCGACAAAATTCTCAGTTTTTCGAGAAAATTCTCCAGTTTATTAAAGAATTTGCGAAAATTCCGCGTTTTTATAAAAAATTGGAGAAAACTATCCGATTTTCTGAAAACTCTGAAAAAATTCTCCGGATTGCGTATGAAAAAAGAATTTTTGATTTTCAATTATCTCTCAATCTACTTTCAACTTTTTTAAGAACTGAGAATTTGATTTTTTTGTTTTTGAAAATACCATTGTTGATTCTCTGATTCTGAGGGTGCTAAGGGACCTGATGGCAATAGCCTTCAATATCATTGAGGACTGGTGCAGGGTAACTGGCCTATCGGTAAATCCAGCCAAGACAACAATCCTGGTTTTCACCAGAAATTATAAACTGAAAAAGATCCAACCTCTGAAGCTAAATGGCTCGGAGATTAACTACACCAGCAGAGTGAAATATCTGGGTGTCCTCCTGGATAATAAACTCAGCTGGAAAGAACATATCTGTACTCAGAGAAATAAAGTGTTTGCCTCTATGTGGGCATGCAGGAGAGCTGTGGGCAGGACATGGGGACTCAATCCTAAAATGAT